TCTCTCTCTCTCTCTCTCTCTCTCTCTCTCTCTCTCTCTCTTCTCTCTCTCACTGTCTTCCCCCTCCCTCTCTCTCTCTCTCTCTCTCTCTCTCCTCTCTCTCTCTGTCTTCCTCCCTCCCTCTCTCTTTCTCTCTCTCTCTCTCTCACTCTCTCTCTCTCTCTTTCTGTCTCGGTTCCCAACACTCGCTCTCCGTCTCCCTCCTCCCTCTCTATCTCTCCTTGACCGAGTCTCTCCATCCACGCAGCCGCTGCCGCACTACACTCCCAGCCGTAACAAGCTCGTCGAGTGAACACCACTATATCGTTTTCTGGGCGTTTTCTCGCTTTCGCCCCAATTTCACCGACAACAGAGACGCATCACGGCGAGTGGTGACTAGGGCGCAGTTTTCCCCAACCCCACCCACTCTACCGTTGGTTCATAATGGCGGAAAAGCTGTGCGGATGTCTGACAATAGCACGACGCGTGACAATAAGCCGGGAATGCGCAGATGAACGCGCATTATACATATATGTACAGTCTGATTTGTTGTTTGGTCGGCGAAACTCGTATCGGCTAAACGTTTGGTTAGCGTTTGTAGCAAATTAACTCATCAGAGAGAAAGAGAGAGAGAGAGAGAGAGAGAGAGAGAGAGAGAGAGAGAGAGAGAGAGAGAGAGAGAGAGAGAGAGAGAGAGAGAGAAGCGGAGGAGAATATAGGTAAAAATTACTGTTTGCCATTATTATTAATGTGGGAATTTCTCTTATACTATTACTACTGCTGCTACTACTGCTACTACTGCTGCTGCTACTGCTGCTACTGCTGCTACTGCTGCTGCTGCTGCTGCTACTACTACTACTACTACTACTACTACTACTACTACTACTACTACTACTACTACTACTACTACTACTACTACTACTGCTACTGCTTTAATCTAGCGTGCCAACAATCGCGACAACATGACAACAAGCGAGCATGCCATTTCGCGCCTGGCATCGTCCGGGTAACCACGGCAACGTGACGAACAAGTGAGCGTGCTTTCAGGTCGGTGCTGTCGGCCGTGCGGGGCGCGGTCGGGCAGACGCTGCAGCACATCACAGGAGCGATGAAGACGCTGACGATGTCAGGCGCAGACGAGCCGCTAGCGCCACCTGTCGCCGAGGGCGCGACGCACGAGCCCGGCGTCGAGCCGCTAGCGCCACCTGCCGCCGCCACCGAGGGCGCCATGGACGAGCCTGGCGTCGAGCTGCTAGCGCCACCTGCCGCTGTCGAGGACGCCGCGGATGGCCGGTCGGCGAGTGCTGTGCCGGACGTACCATTACACTCTGAAGGGGATGCGGGTGTGGCTCAGGATGTTCCATTTGAATTGGGAGGGGAGGCGGACGTGGCTCAAGGCGTACGATTGAAATCGGAAGGGGAGGTAGGCGTGGCTTGGGATATACCATCGAAATCTGAAGGGGTAGCCAGTGTGAATCAAGACATACCATTGAAATCGGAAGGGGTGGATCAGAATGCACAATTAACGTCAGAAGGGGAGGCGAGTGCGGCACGGGATGTGCCGTCGCAGTCAGGCACGGAGGGAGAGGCGGCGAGTGGGTCGGGGGAGGCGGCAGGAGCACTGGGAGCCTGCACACACATCCCCGGGGAAGCCGGAGCCGGGGAGCCTTCCCTGGTGGCCTTCCTTGGTCTTGACGAAGACTTGGCAGATCAGGTGAGTCAGCATTCGCGCGCTGCCACAGCGATCACAGTTTGACTTAGCGACTCCAAGAAGCGCGATAACTTCGAGATAAGAGAGAGACTATTTAATATTAACTAGACTGAAGCAGATTGGCTTCGAGATAAAATATTAACTTAATGTAAGTATATTGACTTGGAGATGAGAGAGGTTACTTAAGATGAACTTAACTGAAGCAGATTAACTTGGAAATAAGAGAGATCGAAGTGATGCACTAAAGATTGCTTTCGATCCTTCATAAGTCCAGCGTTGCGCGTTTGTCTTGTTTATTTTGTCGAAACACGGATTTTTTTTCTTCATTTCTCTTTTCTTTTCCGCGATATTCAGGATCGCATGTTTGCCGTCGTTCCAAAGTCGTGGTGTCCGCACCTGGAGTGCGTGGAGGCACCACCAGGGGGCAGCATTGACGTCGCGCAGCCCTGCGCAACGTGTGGTGATACGAAGGAAAACTGGATATGCCTCACGTGTTATAAGGTAACTAATACTCTGGCCTCCTGGACGCAAAATTTTTCCTACATTTACTGTTTCCCCCCTATTTTTTACTGGTAGTTTCCCCCCTATTTTTTACTGGTAATTCCCCCTATCAAATTTATCAGCGTATATCGATTCCCCTGAAGTGCAGAGGCCTATTTCGCGCAACATTTTGCCCCCTCCTAAATAACATAAGCGTACAACACGTGTGTGTAAGGTGAGCCTACATGAGCTCTGCTCTAATTCCTGTAACATTGCACATCAGCATTATCAGCGTGCAACGCGCCTGCTCGGTAATGTCGCAATGCCCTATTTTTTAGCATTAGTATTAGCGCACTAATGGAGTACTAGCGCAAGTATTTATTTTCAACATTTATTGGATTTACCATTTTTGGAGTGGCTGACTGGAAGTCACTGGTCACTTCTATTCATGTAGTTTCCTTCGTTTTAATTTTATCCGCATTGTCTATTAATTTGTTTAACTAATATGTTAAATTACCTCCAAAATGAAATTCATAAGTGTATATAAAGTAACTAATTTAATTTAATTTAATTTAATTGCTTGGTTTTCTCTCTCTCTCTCTCTCTCTCTCTTTCTCTCTCTCGGTCTCTCCCTCTCTCTGTCTCTCTGTCTGTCTCTCTCTCTCTCTCTCTGCCCCTCTATTTCTCTCTCCTTCTCCCTCTCTCTTCCTCTCTCTCTCTCTGCCTTTCTCTCCCTCTCTTTCTCTCTCTCACTCTCTCTCTCTCTCTCTCTCTCTCTCTCTCTCTCTCTCTCTCTCTATGCCTCTCTCCCCCTCTCTCTCGCTCTCAACTCTTCACACACCCTCGTACTACAAGTATTATAATATTATGCATACCTGCCTCACGACAACACCTGGCTGATGACTTGTGCTCTTTAGAAAGCCCGTTTACATACCTCCCTGAAAAATAAAGTAATAATGAAGACCGGTAAGGAAATCGAAATTCCTGGTTATGGTACGACCACGAACTCGTACATAACACAATTACAGATAACCCCATGTTAGTAGCCATCTTTATAGAGCGGCCACTTCTCCGTAGCGACCATAAAAACTCTCATGCTGAAACAATAGTGAGTATTAAGCACTGTACGGAGCGGCCACCTGCGCAACGCGGCCAGCGGACACTGCTTTTTAGTATTCCTCAGCGGGTTCCAACTGCACATAGCGGCCACATTTCACGTACGTTTCTATCTCGTGCCATCAGAGTTCAGTGTACACAAACCCGACGGGGCGAAATAAAACAGACCAACCTAACACGAGCAACCGCCCGAACGGTGGTTTGACGCATCGAACCACATAAACCGAGGCAATCGAAACGAATTCTCGACCGTAAGTTCTACGGAGCATGCCCACGAGCCAATTGACCGCCATATATATAGCGGTGTGACGTCACGGGTCACGTAATGTCCACTGACTTATAACGCGGTTTTGCTCTTCGTTCTCACGCGCTCTCGGCTCGACGTACTTGTATTGTACGTATTCGCACACGCTCTCTCGACTCGGCGTACTTCTACGTACTAGCACGCGCGCTCTCGACCTCTAATTGTTCTCGTATACTTGACCCTTGTGCTTGACTCTTACATCAGCGTTGTTTCCGCGTCATAGTTAGCGCATTAGAATCTGACTATAGAAACTAATTTATCGATCTATTGGTCTGAGCGACATAACCACGCACTTCTGGAAACATTGATTGCTACAGGTCCGTCAAGCTTAATACCAGTTTATACGCAATTTTTGCGACTATGCGTCAAATCATCGCCTTTGCGGCACTGTTAAGCGAAAAAAGATTTAAAACGTTTAAAGACAATAAAATCGGTTATTATCTTACTTCTGATCTGTCACAATAGCGGTTCCTATTTATGATTCCTTTGAGTCAATGATAATGCTATAACGACTTAACCTACATTATTTCGTATTTGTCGACATTTAGCGCTTCGGCGAAACTAGCAGACGCTCGGATAAACACGGCGATTGTGTCGACGTTTCGAAAAGCATGCAACGTTTGTTTGCTCTCCTCGAGGCAATTGCTACTTTGTAAACACATGCACGCTCTTCATGCGAGCCCGCCAATGCACACACACAACGGTTGTTGCCACAGTATAGCAGTCCCTGTAGAGGCATATATTGGGACAGGGATGGCTTTGTGACAGGCGACTGGCTCAGCATCCTGGGCTACCATCAGCCTCATTGGTGGGCCCTCCATCATAGGTAGGAGCTGATGTTCACATGTGTTGAATGTGCTGCCCCTGTAGTAGTTGATCAGCCACTTCTGCAGTTCTGCTCTGTTGCTCTCAGTGGCAGGGAAGGGTAGTGAATCCGGTTTCTGTGGAGGGGGTTGACGCCTTGGGCAGGTACACGGGGTAGTGATGCCGCCCTCACCGTTTGGCTGTGATGAGGAGTCTGCCGACAGGACCTCACCAACCATTGGAAACTGATCCGTGATCATGCCGAGAGCGACACATGCTTCTCGGCTGAGGAATATCTTGTCAGAGCTGTCTGTGACATATACCACCTGCCTAGTCTCCAACAGACTACCATGCTTATCCTTTCCCGCAAACCGCAGAATTGCTGCACCAAGGATATTGATCCCTCTGCTGTTGGCTGCATGCATCCTCATAGTTACCGGGATGAGGTCTGCTGCACTGAGTCCCAGGCGGTTGATCATCTTTATGCTGGCCAAGCAGCTCTGGCAGCCAGTATCTGCCATTACGGGGAGGGAGGCAGTCTTAGTTTTGGCATGGGTAGGAAGTCCGAGAGCGTCATAGTCTGCCTGCTTACAAGATACTGACAGCTGTATGAATGGTTGAGGTCTTGACGCCCATCGTCTCCAGCAGTCCGATAGCTGGTCATACAGATGGTGGTCTAGCGTCAGGGTACGTATACCAGCATGCTCATCAAAGGTGGTGAAGCTACAGAGCGGATCGTTGTTTGGCGTCTGCACAGCACTGGGTGACGCGGTATCAGAGATGGTGCAGAGCGAGCTGAAAACTGCGCCCTGCTCATCTGCCATTGACACCTCAGGCCCACCGTTGGTCGTGCTGCGGCACATCGCCTCCAAGTGATGCAGCCTGTTGCACTTCCTGCAAGTCTTACCGTAAGCAGGATAGGTTTTCTCACATGAGGTGGGTCTCTCCTACCGTGACCTCTCCTACCACAGTACGAGCACACTTCCTGACTGTCGGTATCAGTGTCATGTCGCTTGGTCCCTTCTCTAACCATGGTTGATGATCTTTTGCTTTTCTGGTACAGGCTGCGTGCAGCAGCTGCACCCTGTGACTGCAAAAGTCTGTTGGCCGATCGCTTGCCTGCCTCTTTGGCCTCCACGAACTTGAACACCTCCTCGAGAGTCATGTCCTGGTTCGGATCTCCGAGCAGATCGAGTTGAATCTCACTGTCAGCCAGACCCCTAGCTAACACATCCCGGAGAACCTCATTGGTGTAACTCACTTCCTTCTGGCAGTTCTGGCATGTCAGTGCAAATTTGCAGACACTCGCTTGTCCAGTGATACGAGCGCCGAATGCGCGTACTGGCTCGTCATGATCTTGAGTCATGTTGTGCAGTATAAAACGAGCAACCATCGTGTTCTCCTCTCTCACTGCAAGTTTTTTCATTGCTGCCAGTACATGCTCCTCTGTGTTATTCGTCAGACTGGCACCAGCTGATCTCGTCAGGGCTCTGCGAAGACCCTCGTCACAACACTCTAGCAGCTGGGCTACTTTTTCCTGGCCAGTAACCTTAGTTGCTGAGACATAGTCTGTCCATCTGGTCGTGAAGTAAGTCCATTCTTCGCTCGACCCGTCAGAGGACAATGTAGGTCTCTTCACCTTTGCGACCTTAGCGGGGGCGACTTGCGGTTGGGTGTGTTCCGCTGTCGAATGTATCTGGAGTAACTGTACCACGATTGAAGGATCAACGACCGCAGTCTTGTACTCGCAGCCAGCAACTGGACAGTTCATGGCAGGCATGATGGGGAACACACAGGCGTGGACGGTTTGATGTTAGCTGCAGATCACGAAATTGTCAGCATTAATAGGAATAACCATTTGTCTCTGACGCATTAAACGCGGGACAATGCTGACAAATTAACAAAGCGAGTTTGT